AAGGGGGATGTACCCAGTACAAACAAAAAAGAAAATAAAAGGGAGGAGGAATTGTCTGTGCGCGATTACATCTGTACATTTAATTCAACCGATTAAATATTTTTTCTTTTTTTTTTTATATTTAACAAACGTACGTATTTCTTTGCGATTGTACGTATTTATTATAGTTTTACTTTTGTTTAAATGGATTTTTCTTTTAATTGCGTTTTGATACAACTATTGTGACCGAAATTATTTGTTGGTATTAAGTGTACTTTATTTAGTTTAAAGTTAAGATCATTAGTATTTTTTGAGATTAAGATACTTTGTTCTTTTTTTTTATTTACTTTCTCATTATATAAATATAAATATAATAAATAATATTTAATAAATATATAAAAATAAATGTGTAATTATTTTCTCGTTATATAAATATGGAACATAAATGTTGCAGGTTTTATTTTTTTTCCTTGGATTAATGCAAGATATTTTAAATAATTTTTTATCTTTTTTATTCGTCAATGTGATATCTGATTTATTACATTTTATTTTGATTTTTATTTTTTTTATAAATAATTAGAATTATTTATTGTTGTTATTAGTGTTATTGCAATTATTAACGTTATTATGATATCTGATTTGTTACATTTTATTTTGAATTTTTTTATTTGTTTATAAATAATAATTATAATTATTTATTGTTGTTAGTGTTATTGCAATTATTAGCGTTGTTTATAATTATTTAATTACTTGAAATTTATTATTACATTTAATTGTGTAATATTTGATTAGACAAAAAAAAAATGAATATTAAAGAGAAAGAAATAAGTTGAACGAAAAAGAATAAAAATTAAAATAAAAAAAATAAAAACGGGGTGGAGGGAAGGGGAGAAAATAGTTAGATAAAATGTTCACGATCGAATCGATTGTTGCGTGCTTTGCATAGATCATTCGTAAAGTGCTTCCTTTATTCATTCGTTTTTATATCCTTCGAAAGAAAATGATTTGCATAAAAGTTTGGCAGCTTTGAGAAAACTCTACCCCCCTTTTTTTTCACTTTTACCAACGATAAAAGTATCATAGCTATATATAATATTTTAGGCTTCCTGTTTTCTTTATTCTTTTTATTATTATTTTTTCTTTTCTTTTTTTTTCTTCCCTCCTAGTTCTACTTCTTCTTCTTCTTCTTCTTCTTCTTCTTCCTCTATCGTTTTCAAAGTGAAAAGAATATTAACATTACCAGACGACCTACTAAGCTCCCTATTTATCTAGATAAAAAGACAAGTATTATACGAATATAGATCAATATATTTTGACATTAACATTTTTATTTTCTAAACCCACCCCTTCTGTTATATATAACCTAAAAATTGTATTTTTGTTTTTGTTTATTTTATATAGGCATTATAATGAAGCTAAAAAATTTCTAAAATCACAGTATGAAATATCAGAATTTTATGAAAACTATTTTTACATATTATTATATATATACATAAATTGTAGTAATAATGATTAATTACTAAAAATAATATTTTCTTTTATAAATCTATAAATATATGTTTATATATAATATTTATGTTTGCAGAGATATATTATCATCCTTTTTCTCTTCTCTATAGATCAACATTATATTTTATATATAATAAAATAATTAATATAAATATATAAAATAATTATTAAAAATATTTAATGTATAATATGAAATCATATTAAATATATAAAATAATTATTAAAAATATTTTTTTATTTATTTATTATTTAATATATAATTAAAAATATTTAAAAAATAATATAATATTATATTTTAAATAAAATTAAAAATACTTAATATATAATATAATATTTTTTATATTTAATAAATAATTAAAAATATCTAATATATAATATAATATTATATTTAATATATAAATATATTTTTTTAAATAATACCTATATATATATATATATATATTTCTTTGATAAATGTATTTACAAATTTGTTCCTATTCGATCAGCATATAAGCCAAATTGTAAAGCTTTAAAAAGAAAGAAATATGGATTACGGATATTTGATATATTTCAAACGTGAAACCTTCGATGTCTCACTTATACGTGACCAGCATATTTCTCTTATTAGCTCTCTCACCTTTAGAATCTTCCTAATATAAAATTTATCTATCATATAGATAAAATGTACAGATCCATATACATAAATATATATATATATATATGGAAAACTTGATATCCTATAGAAAATTGAACTTTCGGGTCACGTTTTTATATCTCAATTCAGAACAACCAGTTTTTCTCTAATCTACATTAAAAGGAAATCGAATGAAAAAAAATAAAATGGTGTAACGGTTCGCACTGAATACGATACAAACTTTTAAACGATTCACGTTTCAATGTATTTTCTCAAAGATAATGCGTCGCAAAAGAAAAAGTGATCGAGATAATCGTGACACGTCGTAAACGAATTAGGAAGTGATCTTATCCTCCTGCTACTTGTATAAATGTGTCCCTTTTTTTATGTTTCTTTTTCTTTTTTTACAACAAACCAAAGTAGAGAAATAGTAGAGAAACTAATATAAACACTCGATTGCTTTACACTTTTTTTTTTCTTACTCATGCACAAGATTAAACTGAAAGATATACGAGCTTGACTTATCTTCAATCGAATTTGTCTAGTGGCTACTATCTAATGAGTTTAAACTGTAACATACGATTTACACTGTATTTCTTCTTCTTATTCTTTTTTTTTCTATTATTATTTTCATTGAATATAAATAACACGAGTAGCTTTGAAATTCACATGGAGTAATAAATAAAAAGAGAAAGATAAACATCTTTTTGTTTTAATTTTTTTTTAGATAAATTGATAAAAAATATTGTCTTAATATAAATAAATAATATATATATTATATTATATATTATTTTTTTAAAACATTTGTTTTAACATATCTAAATGTGTACACCACCCAATTGCAATTATTACATAAAATGTCACTTTATATAATGATAAGAATATTAATTAAACGTCAAATAAAAAGAATATATATATGTTAAATGTAATAATTAATATTTATATTCTATACACATTAAAAATAATATTAAGTTATCCAATAAGTTCACGAGGATTTTGCTATTTATTTATAGACAAAAATCTTACGTACGAACTTATTGGTCAACTTAATTTATATAATTAATTTAATAATTATATTATTTAGTTATATTAAATGTATAAAACATTATACATTATATATTAATAACATTATTTTTAAAACATATTTGTGCTTGTGTGACAATTATGGTGACCGACATTAATTGATTAATACAATTAACAATCAAACGATAAAAATGCAGGTTTGTGCTCTCTTGGAACAGTGAAAAAAAAAGAACAAAGGATCAAAAAATAATGACAAAAAAATGGAGGGAGAAAGGTTCATTGTTTTTTGATTGTTTGAACGATGATTGTGTAACAAGCTTTTCTTCCATAAAATAAAATATACTTATTTTTCTTTTTTCTTTTTTTTTTTTTTTTTTTTTTTTTTTTTTGAAAATTATTAGATCCTCCCACTTGGGATTGAGTGAACTCGTGGAACGTTAAACTAATTGAAAAGAGAGAGAGAGAAAAATCAAGCAAGAAGTCAAAGCGAATGGAAATTTAACCCCGGCACAACCACTCATAATCTCGTTTTACTAACTAACTGCATTTCCACCCTATCGTTTGGAAACACCAAAAGGTAGCCAAGTTAAAAACTCCGTTTTCTCTCTAAACTTCTTCATTTTTTTTTATCTTATTTTATTTTTCCTTTTTCGTTTTATTTTTTTTTTTTTAATGCAACATTTATTTTAACACATAACCTAACAAACTTTGTTTAATTTTTTCTGACACATATATATTTATTTATTTATTTATTTAATGCGTATAGTGGTCACTGTATTTTAAGAAATGAAATGAGAAAAATGTAGTTTTTTTTGTCCAATTTTCTTCATTTGTAAGTATCTTTTCATTTTTAATTTTTAACATATCGAACTTAACTTCTTCACGTTTTATTTATTTATTTCTTTAGCTGAAATATTTGTAATTTTAATACTAATTAATTAAATCATTTTTATTTTATAAAAAGTGTCTTGTTGTGGTCACTAATTTGATTGAAATAAAATAAAATAAAAATAAAATAAAAATTTTTAGAACGAGTGCATTTAATATTACGAAATATGAAATCAATCAATTTCTCGTGAACAACTATTTCCCATCGTACACTAACTTATTCACCAATCAATTAAATAATAAAAAAATCGATTGAAGAGTTACTTAAGCAACAATCGTTACAATAAAAATGATCAAATATTACCTTAACGAAGTATTAAAACGAGAGAGAGAAAAAAAAAAACAAGAAAAAAGTTATCAGTGAAAGATGTGACCAAACGAGACTAATATATAAAAAAAAAATAAGAAAAAAAATAATCTCGTTGACGTGAGAAAATAAATAAAACTTTCAATGTTATCGATTACATAAATAATATCTTTAATTATATTATTTATTACAACAAAAATATCCACACAAAAAAAAAAATAAAAGATAAAAAAAACGAAGAAGTAGAACAACACCAACAACAACAAACAATAACAATAACAAACTCCGACGTTAATTAAATATAAATCTCTCTCTCTCTCTACTTCGATTATTCTAACCTTCCACGAGGATTTGGATTTATTATTTAAGGTACAATAATAATAATAATAATAAACAACAAATGAAACACGTATTATTCGTGTATAATTCTGTAATGCGTGTATGTTGAAAAAATAGCGTTTGTTTATTTCTTTTTTCTAATTGCACGAGAAAGTATAATATTAGAAAAAAGAACGTGAAAAAATGTTGGAAAAAAAAAAATTAAAAGAAAGAAAAAAAAAAGGTAAATAAAAGAAATGAAATGTGTTTATTGTATATATATATTTTTTTTTCTTTAGTATTAATAAATAAAATAATAGTAATAGTGTATAAGGATCGAAAGAATGTATAAAATCTACTCACGATTATGTGGTACGTTTTGGTGGTGCGGCAGGACTGTCGTCGTCGAGGGTAGAAAAGCACGTCGGGTCCCCGTTAAAGAGACTTTCCAACCCCCACCCCCTAATCTCGAACCTCCCTCCTCCCCTTCAATTCACATCGCGCAGACGTGCTTTCTATCCCCTCTATATAGATTTACATATACACATGCCAATCTAGATATGACCGAAATGGACTATGTATGTACACATATGCGATTGTATTTGTATCTTTCTATATATAGAAAAATATATACGTATGCGTATGAGTGTGTGTATGTGTCTGTGCAAGTATTATAAAAATGTGTGAGTTTTGTGTATGTAAGTATTATGAGTATGTGTGAGGTATGTGTGTTTGTAAGTATTACGAGAATGTTTGAGAATGTGTGAAGTATGTGAGATGTGTGTGAGGTATGTGAGATGTGTGTGAGTGTGTAAGGAAGAAAGAATGAGAAGGAGTGAGAGAGAGAGAGAGAGAGAGAATAGTGTTTGAATTTTCTCCCACCTGATAACGAGAGATACACTAAGGAAATGGATACCTACATAAGGTTTGGGATCGTATTGTAACGATACTCAAACGTTTTGACTTAGAATAAATATACATAATATATCGATATATCATTTGTGTGTAAGTAGTAAAAGGAAAATAAGGAAATTTCTATTCTGATTCATAAACGAAGTTTTCTTTACTTTTCTTTTCTATTTTTTTTTCTTTTTGGTAAAATAATAAAAAGAAAAATGAAATTTGGTGTTTAAGTAATTTCTATAATTATATATCTTTTCTATTGTTTATTATCAAAAGCATTGCAATTATGCAAGTAATAATGCAACGTAAGTGAAAATATAAATTATATGCCGTTTACAATAAAAATATTTCTTCTCTTTTCTATTTTTTTGAATAAGATAATAAAAGAAGACAAAATTTTGTATTTAAGTAATTTATATAATTATATATCTTTCTTCTTCTTTTTATTACGATAAGCATAGTAATAATGCAAGTAATAATGCAATGCAAGTGAAAATATAAATTATATGCCGTTTACAATAAAAATATTTCTTTTCTTTTTTTTTTTTTTTGAATTAAATAATAAAAAAAGATGAAATTTTGTGTTTAAATAATTTATATAAATATATTTTTTTTTTCTTACCATAAACATGGTAATAATCTAACTTATTGCTTGGACAATGCAACGTAAGTGAAAATATAAATTATATGCCATTTACAATAAAAATATGTTAATGCATTATAAACTAAACAAAAAATAAAAATAAAAAAAAATAAATGTAATTACAAAAGATATAATGATCGTAAATAATCACAAAAATTATACTATCTTTTCATTTTTAATATAACAATACATTAACTATTATTACGACTATAAAAAGAAATAAAACGAAAAAAAAAACGTATGGAAATTTGCAAACTCGCGATTACTCGTCTCTCTCTCTCTCTCTCTCTCTCTCTCTCTCACTCACTCACTATCTATTCTTTTTTTATTTTTTATTATCATTTATACAATATTACGATCGAGGTTTTATGAGCTTCAAAATCCTAAACCACTGACGTTAGCGTGCACGTGAAGGGTCGGGGGGGAGGGCGGGGGTGGAGATATGTGATATTATATTTAATTCAAAACGTCCGAGCCGCGGAATGCATGTAAAACTAAAGGAGTCAGCAGGTTGCATTGCAAAAAAGATTTTTTTTTTTGTAATAAAAAAAAAAATAAAAAATATCTGAAAATTGAAAGAAAAAAAAAATTCTGTACAAAAACGAAACCTAAAAAAAAAAAAAGGAAAAAGAAAAAATAACGAAGATACAGAGGAAAATATCTGTTATCTCAAGAGCACGAGCATAGAAAGAGATAGAAAGAGAGAGAGATAGAGAAAGAGGGGTAAATGCAAACTTTCTGATGGAACGTGAAAAAATAACATCCCTTGGGATAGTCATAAGAAAAAGTACTAGTATCGTGGTTACTGCTTGTGAAACAATAATAATATACCATCTCTCTCACTCACACCCTTTCTTTGTGTTTCCTTTTTTTCTTACCATGGTGTTCCTTTTCTTCTATTTGTTCTTGTTTACAATTTTGTTTACACATAACCTTTTTTTTTCGTAATAAATTTAATTGTCAAATTTTTCTTTTTTTGGCATTGTAATCAAATTCAACACAGAATTTAATTTAATTTATCAATAATTTTTCATTCATTTCTATTAGAATCGCAATAGAAATGGATGAACGATTCTATTAAATAAATTAAAATATACTTTAACATCGTAAATGATTGCATTTTTGTTTAGAGGAAAGATAAGATCTAATACGATTAAAAATATAATAATTATTTTATTCTAATAATTAATAATAAAATAAATTATTGCTTTTTACGATAAATAAATACAAAATTTAACATATATATACGTGAGTTTTATATAAAAAAATAAAAACATTGTTTCTAATAAATTGTACACTAGAGAGAGAGAGAGAGAGAGAGAGAGAGAGAGAGAAAGAGAGAGAGAGAGAGAGAGAGAGATAGAAAGTTAGGTAAAAGAGAGAGAGAGAGTTGGTGAAGGGGTGGTAAGGGGTGCATTGGCACTAATTACAAAGTTGCAACGATTCGAGGTCGGTCTTCGAGCCGGTTGCTCATGAATCTTTCACGCTCATTCAAGCTTCGTCCATTACACCGTGAAACGCTTCTCTCGACACCGAGTAAAAACCATGGAGGAAGGGTAATAGACCAAGTGGAAAGAGAACGTTCTAGGTAAGACAGGTAAGAAAGAAAGAACGAGATAGTAGAAGAAAGATAGAGAAGAAAAAGAAAAAGAAAATTCAAGTATGTGAAAAAAAAAAAGAAAAAGAAAGAAATAAAAAATGAGAAAAAGATAATGCAAAGAGAGGTGAGAAGAAGAAGAAAAAGAAGAAGAAGAAGAAGAAAATAATTAATTAAAAAATGAAAAACAAATTAATATATATATAAACGTAAATCAAAAAGTTAAAAAGTGATAAAAAAAAAATAATAAAAAGTTTTCAGAAAGATTGAAGTAAATTATGCAAAACAAAAAAACCAAAAATGATACAAATTTGAAAGAATGTAAGATGAAAGTGTTCAAAAAAAAAAAAAAATAAAACAATAACAAAAAATAAAAAATAGCGATAAAATGTATTTTACACCCCATACACCTACCCCCTTTTCTCCTGCTTCGTCGTCATTTTTTTTCAAATAATCAAAAAGAATTAAAAAAAAAAAGGAAAACTATAGAGGGGGTTTAGGGATGCGATTTTCACGTAAAAATCTCGTTCATAGTGAACGTTTGATGACAAAGTAAACAAAATAAAAAGAAAAATATTAAAAAGGATTAAAAAAAAATAAAAAGAAGAAGATAAAGAAGACGAAGATAAAGAAGAAGAAGAAGAGACGATGTTAGTTAGACGTAAAAAAAAGGGATCGCCGACAGCTAACGATTGCTCTAGTAAGCTCATGGGGGATTTTAATAAAGGAAGGAGAACTTATTCATACCTGCGCTCATGGCGCAAGCGCCGGAAAGCCACCTGTAGCCCCAGCTTCCAATCAATACATCACACAGAGAAAGAGAGCCAGATGCAGACTGATGCGAGTGAGTGAGTGAGTGAATAAACGAGTGAGAGAGAGTGAGAGAGAAAAATATAGAACTAGATCGTGGCTACACAGCTACCACCAGGTAGCAATGGGGGTATATAACTGGAGCACACCGACCTGCTAACCAAACCAGAAATCGCCTGTTGCTGCTCTCCTCTTATTACTCCTTGCTGCTATTACTGTTACTGTTGCTGCTGCTACTTACTCTATTGCTTTTAATGTTGCTTCTGTTACTGCAATTATTGTAACAGTTATTGGTCATAATATTTCATTGTAGATACATATGTAAGTGAAAAATTAAAAATTAAATACACAATTAATTATGTGAATTAAATTTTATATGCAATTCATTTTTGTTTCTAATCCTATTTGTAAAAGAAATATATATATTATATTATATTAATAATATAATATATTATAATATATAATATAAAGAGAGAAATATTTAATTTAAATTAAAATTAAATTATAAATAATATATTATTATTATATTATATTAAAATTATATTTATTTTATAATATTTGTATTATATATATTATAATTATATTATTATTATAATATAATATATATTATAATATATATTATTATTATTATTAATATATTATAATTACAAATAATATATTATTATTTATAAATATATATTATTTAGAATAATTATAAATTAATATAAATTATAAAATAAAAATATTAAAGTTTAATAAAATAATATATTAAATAAAATAAATTAATATAAATGATTTTATAAAAATATTAAATTTAAATAAAATTATATTAATATAATATTTATTTTTTTATATTAACATTATTATTTTCTTCGACAGCTCTATATTAGTAAAGTAAACGATAATAATTATGTGAATTAAAATTTATACGCATTAAATTTTTATTTCTAATCCTATTTTTAATGCTAATATTCATTTTTTTTTGTTATATTAACGTTGTTAACTTCATTAACAACTCTATATTAATAAAGTAAATAATAATAATTATGTGAATCAAATTTTATGCATTATATTTTTTTTTTAATCCTATTTTTAATACAGATATTCATTTTGTTTTTTATATTAACATTATTAACTTCCTTAATAATTCTATATTGAAAAAGTAAACAATAAAAATTATGGTGATATAAAATTTAAAACATTTCTTATTTTTTTTTAACCAATTGACCACGATAATATTTATTTCTTCTTGAACATGCTTCTTAATTTTTCTTCTTCTTCTTCTTCTTCTTCTTATCGAATTTACATTAAATATTTATGTCGTCGTTAATACGTTTTTTTTAGAATTAGTGTTTTTTATTTTTTCAATTTTTTTGTTTCACCTCAAACTTCCGCAAAGATTAATATTCGTCACGAACCCGTATTCTTTTATTTTTCTTTTTTGTTTCTCTTCTTGAATTTGCACAAAGATTAATCTTGCTAAGCGAACGCGTTTCTT